TCAAAAAATCGAATTTTTTTTTTTTTAAATTTTTTTTCTTGTCACGTCATAATTTTATAAACCAAAAAAAAAAGGTTTTCCTGAAAGTTTCAGTTCAAAATGTGAATTTTAAAAGGTCGCTCATAATTTTTTTTTAATTTATTAGTGACTATTTAATTGGATTAGCAATTTTTGACTCTGAAATTTAAAAAAAAATAATGAGCGACCTTTCAAAATTTAAATTTTGAATTGAAACTTTCAGAAATTTATTTTTTTTGGTCTATAAAATTATGACGTAACGAGAAAAAAAATTAAAAAAAAAAAATTTCGATTTTTGATGATTTTTGAAATTTAAAAAAATTTGGAGCGACCTCTTTAAAACTTTTTTTTTAGCTGTTCTTTGGAAAGGGCTCTTAAAACATCAAAAACTAACATTTTTTTACTTGAAATTTAAAACAAAATAGTCGGTTTTTTTGCGCCACCCTAATATATATATATGTATACATGAAAAATATATAAAAATGCATGTAGGTACTCAAATGAAAGCTCTTGATGAATGTAACATCGAAATGAGCTTATATCTTTAAAAACGTCAATATTTAAGAAAGTACAGTGCAATTTAACAAAAGTCATTATTTAATACAGCAAAATTTTAATCTTTTACTAACAAACAACAGCAAAAAGAATCCATCATCAGAAGCTCTAAAATGATATAGATGCAATTTTTTTATATCTAGTTCATTTTTAAATAATAATAAAAAAATTGTCAAGTGTCTGCCAATTTCAATGTCATTTAATTTTTAATTACCGAATTAGCTGATAAATTGCTCGATGACTTGGATTGAGCATCATTCGACTGAATCAATGTCACAGGTGCCGATAACCACTCCGATGACTCATCATTGTGTTCTGTAAATAATTATTATGTAAATAATTACAAGTTATCAATATTATGTTAACAATTGAAAAAATTTCAGTCAAGAAAAAAATAAACATCAGATTTTTAATTTTTGAAATTTTTCTTCACAGAAAATTTATACAATTAGCAATAATAATTAAATAAAAAAATCTATGAATAATAATTAATTAAAAAAATTTACCTGTCACTAACACAGTACGGCCGTCATCAAAAATAAGAAAACCATAAGAACCAAGTGGTACTGAGTCTATTGATACAGACATTGTGTCTGGAGTTTGTTCAGTCAACATTTTTTCAGCTTTTTAAATAATCTAAGCTAGAGGAAGAAAATTAAAATAAATTATTTAATTGGTCATAAAATAATAAATACAATTGTATCGTAAAAGTTGACATTGATAAGTCATTCTTAATAGTATAGTTATATATAAATATATACTTACAGTGAGTAAAAAAAAGTAATTACTCATTTGTTTTATTAGTTACTTTTTTTCAATTGTCGAGATTGAATATTGACATTATCTTATTATTATTAAATGTGAGATAACCTATTGGACTGTAATCAATTTAAATAACATTATTTTAATCACTATTCACACGGTAAACATCAAGTGTATATTTTTATAAATATACACTCATTATTAATTTATTGACAAACGTCAATTTTTAACAACATTATAGTTGTAAAAATGACGTTACAAATTATTATTATAAATAAAAAAATCCTTAAAATATTTACCAGAAGATGTCATGAGAATTTAACACTAGCGACATCTGCCGTGAAAAATTTAAAAATTTGGCGGCTTTTTTAAATATAAATTAATTCTTGTAATAGAAAAGCTGTCAATTTTTCTAATTTTTATAACAAATTAATTACAAAAAAAAATTGTAAATAATTACTTTTTCTAATTTTCAATATGGAATATTTTGATTAATTTTTTTTTCATAATAATTTTATTACTAAAAAATTGTAATGTCTGTCAACTTTAATGATGAAAATTAAATTATCTGAAATCTAAAAATTTTTAGAAATTTTTACGTCTGACTTTCTCGTAAGACTTTGAACAAATACTAACATTTAAAAATTTTATTTTTTCAAAATTTTGTCCGGTAAAGTATAATTTAAACCTCACTATTAGATAAATAAGGACTTCAACTATTAGAAAAAAATTTAATTTACTCATAATCTAATATTTTTTATTTTACATTGGCGGCGAAAGGACCTCCTTTTAAAACAAATTAAATAATTTAATCAATAATACTAAAGTCAGCCGACAATTTTATTTTTTTAATAATTAAATTAGAACAAAAAAATATTTTTTAAAAATTGCACTTACAGTTTTCAAAGTTATTTACAAGTGCAAATTTATTTTTAACCATTTTTTCAATAAAAAAATTCTAAAAATTTTTAAATGTCGGCTAACTTAATTTTCAGAATTAATCAATATGAAAATTAAGAGCCGTGATTTGAAAATTTTTAGATTTTTTTTTATTGAAAAAATTATTAAAAAAAAAAAATTTTCATTTAATAAAAACTTGAAAAACTGTAAGTGCAATTTTAACAAAATTTTTTTTTTGTTCTATTTGAATTAATGAAAAAAAATGAAAAACGTCGGCTAACTTTAGTGTTATTTAATCAATACTTATGTAAGATTTATCAGAACAAAGAAAGCTTTCTTCATCAAAAGCATCGCCTTCGATCAGCTTAAAAATTTCAGCTTCTTTTTTTCTCGCAAGCATCCTAGCTGTCGCAGTAGTTACTGAAGTTTGCGATGTATCGGGAGTCAATTCGTAATTATTTTCATTTATTTCTCTCGAAAGCATTCTATCCAGGTCCGAGGGTCCAGTGGTCAACACTTGGCAAAAATCCAAAGGATTAACGTCCTCAATAGTCGACTTTGACGGCGATTGGTAGTTCAACAAATGTTCTATATTCTCACGATCATTCGTCGGAAGATTAGCATTCCTCGTCACGACATCCGAAGAGAAATAAAAATTGTCAGCTTTGCTAGATACTGTTTTAAATTTCTCTTTCAATTGCTCCGAATTTTTTTGCCAGGGTAAATTTTTCAATATGTGCCGCATGTAAGTGTATTCTTCCGGAATTTTGCTGGTCGAAGTGTTAATTTTTAATGAGTGAGCTTCAGGTTTTGAAGTACTGGGTATCGCTGGATTATTTACTAAATTTTCAATCAAAGTTTCTGAAGAAGTTTGATTTCTAGATGAAGTATCAGAGGAGTCTTGCTGCTTGCGCTTGCTTTCAGGAGACAAGCTTATTTGCTTGAAGAGTTTCTGAATTCCGTAGAATTGATTAGGGACGTGATAACGCGGGTCTACCTTCGAATAAGTAAGCCGTGATTTATCTTTTAATAATAACGGAGATCTTAATTCAGTCAGACAATCATTATGCGACGGATTAAATACACTGGGTTGTGATTTGGGAATAAAAAGCGGCGAATCTGGATTGTTAAAAGGATTCGCTAATATTTTTTTGCTGTTGGTAAGTAAACTTAAGAGTGAATTCATACTTTGGTCATAATTTCTCTCTGCAAGCGGCTTTACATCGACTGATTTTTTAGAAAATGGAGTGGAAGTTTTTAAGGGTGAAGCGAGCTTGAGAATTTTAGTCGGAATTTTAGAATCTTCAAATTCTGACCCAGGAACTAAAAATCTTTTTATCGGTTGAATATTTTCTTGATTTGAAACTACTTTTTTGACCGGCTGAGGCTGAACAGCTTTAGGTTTTTTAAATTCTTCCTGACTCATGGGTTCTGATTGATTGTTCTTAGCTTTTTCTGTCCGCGCTGTCAAAGTAGATAAAACTGAAACTTGCTCATTTTGATCAGCGATTTCGCAACCAGTGTAATCAATTTCTTTGATATTTTTCATTATCTGATAAATGTACTCAGTATCTACTATTTCTTTTGAAAACTCTTTGTATATTGCAATCATCGCGTCGTAATTTATTTTACGCTGAGCAACCACTCGACGCTCACGCTCAGTCATATCGTTTGTTTGTTTGAGTTTTAGATTTTTAGAAAAAGTCAGGGCTAATTCTTGAGCTTCGTCTACAATACTTTGAGGCAAACCTGATGATCGGGCTAATGTTATTCCGTAATGATCTATTTTTGAAATACCTTGCTTCAGTTTGTGAGTGTAAATAAGTCTTCTTTGAAGAGGATCAATTTCATCGTTTTTTAAAAGAGCTTCCATGTAATGGCTGAAATTTAATAATATATAATTAATTTAATCTTGGAAATTTGGACAATAAATGAAGATATTAAATTATAAGAATTCAGCGAAATATTGCAATTCTTATAATTTAATATCTTCATTTATTGTCCAAATTTCCAAGACTAAGCCATTTAAATATTTTATTTAAAGATTAAGTCATTAAGTTATTTAAACATTTTAAATACGGACGAGAACTTAATTTTTAATAATATAATTTAATTAAATATTAAAAAAAAAAATTATGAATATCTTACTTTGTAGCATTTGGATACAGATCAACAAGTTTTAATAAAAATAAAAAATGCGTAGCGTTGAAAATAAACGCTTGTGTCTTCAAAAGCTGTTTACTTATTCCCCAAGCAATAGATGCTCCTTCTTCGACTGTAGTACTTCTAGCTAATTCATCTAAAACAACTAACGACTGGGGTGTGATGGACTGCAAAATATACTGCGCTTCTTTCATCTGTAAAAATAAAAATAAAAAATATATTGAAAAATTTTTTTAACTCTCTTGTATTTTAATTTTACTTCAAGCATAAAAGTCGACGCATTGAACTCAATTTCATCTCGATCTCCAAGTCTGCAGAATATTCGATCAGCAACTCGGAATACAGCTTTTGTAGCAGGTATATAACAGCCTATTTGGGCCATTATTTGCAAAAGAATTATTTGCTTCAAGTAAATTGTCTTGCCGCCCATATTTGGGCCGGTTATATTGTGGTAATTGTAGTGAACTGAAGCAATTATGTCATTGGGTGTTGGAGATTCGACTCCTAGTATGTCCATCACAGGATGTTTCGAGTTACGAACTTCAAGTTCTGACTCGAATATTGGTTTTACGTAATCTGATATAGAACTTATTTGAGCTAAAGACAATATGAGGTCTAGTTCTGCAATATTGTCATTTAGACGGAACAAACAGCCGATGTGATTCCTTATTTCGGTTAATGCGTCGATCATTACTCTATAAAATAAAAAAACAAATTTTAAAAATAGTAATGCTAATTAAAAAAGCCTTAATAATTAATTAATTAATTAATTATTAAGATATATTAAATGTAAAAGACTTACACATCACTCATTATATGAATTTCTTCACAAGCATCTTTACAATGAGTACCCATTACAACAAGTGGTTCTACAGTCATGAGAACCAAATTTCTTTGTTTCTTTAGCTAATTTTACAGATTAAATAAATTAATAATTATAAATATAAGCAATAATTAATTTTTAAGTATTTATCAATGACACTGAAGTTGACAGACATTAGAAATTTTTTTATAATTTTATGACAATAAAATAATTATAAAAAAAATTTAATTAAAAAATTCCACATGTGGAAATTAAAAAAAAATTGTTAGTAGAAATTTTTAAAAGCATTTTTTGGTAATTATTTACAAGTAGGGTCCACCATTTTTATTTTCATTTTTTTGAACGAAATTTCTATTTGATTTTGTTGATATATTTTTTTTTTTTGAAAAATACATAAAAAAATGAACAATTAAAAAAAAAGCTGATTAACACAATTTTTCAAATTTTCAAAAAGATTTATAAATTATTTAGAAAATTGTGATATTCAATTTTTTTTTTTTAATTGTTCGTTTTTTTTATGTACTTTTCAAAAAAATATATATCAAAAATATCAAAAGAAGATAAAATAGAAATTTTATCCGAAAACATGAGCCAAAATTTTTTCCAACTTTTGAAGGCAAAAAAGTTATCTAAATCTTTATTTTTCTCTTTCACTACACTTTGTGTCATAAATGCGCCGTAAAAACAAGCAGAATAAAAAAAAAATTAAAAAATTTTAATTTTTCCTCTAGATATAGCCAAAAATAGAGCGAAGCCCACTTGTAAATAATTACCCTTTTTTTTTTTATTGTAATTGATTTGTTATAAAATTAAAAAAAATCAACAGTTGTCAGTTAAATTCAGTATCATTATTTACCATTATAAATTCACTGGGCAAATTTTCTTCTTTAAATTTACGCTTTGATATATCCATTTGAATATGATAACCAAAAGACATGTTACAACTTAGAGTCAATGGAAGAGAATATTTTTCACCCAATTTTAAAACCATAGCTGCAAAAAAATTAATATAAAATAAATTATCAATACAATATAAAACAACATTATATCTATTATATTTACACTGCATGTCATCAATTAATTCACAATAAGCTTGTCGAGCAATGTCTAGTAGCTGGCTAATATTAGGTCTAATAGCAAAGCATCTTTGCATGTTCGCTGAAGAATATCCCATTAAAGACATCGCGTCTTCATGGATGATTTTCAAGATTGCTTCTTTCATCATTTCAAACCGAGTATCTTCGAGATCCTGCATAAAATAAATTATAATTTATTTGATAATTATAATTAATTATAAATGAATTATAATTTTTTTGATAATTATTAACTATATAATTGTCTGATTGAAGAATTAAAATTAATTAAAGAATCTTACAGTTTGAACTTTTTGAAAAAAAGCCGCTTGAGTAGTACTCAGAGCTGCTCTTAATTCAGGAATTATATCAATAGTATTTTTTAATAACAGTATATAATTAAGATTTCTTTCAGCTTTTTGAATTGCATCGCCTTCAAGTGAAGTTATTCCCAAACTGAGAAGTCGACTGACTCCGTACAAACGTCGAACGATAGGCTGATTGAAAAAAATAAATAAATAATATATTAAATATCGGAAAATAACAAATTAAAGAAAGAAGAAATCAAGAAATTTATATAAGTACTTGAGTTATTGAAAAGACTGATCGACTATTGACGAATTCTTCAATACACTTTTGTCGAGCAGTTATAATATCAACATTACAAGGAGGCTGAAGAATAGAAGCTCTCAGTAATCTCCGACCCATTGGTGTTGAGCATCGATCAAGAGCTCCAAAAAGACAAAAGTTTGGCTGGCCTCCATGAGCTGTAATTAATTCCAAGCTTTGCGCGCTTTCAATGTCTGTTTAATTGAGAGTCCAAATTTTATTTTACACTTTAAATTTATAAATTATTATTTGAAAATACTTTACCAATCATTGTATTATTTTGAGACCCTTCGTACTCGATGCGCATTGATTGGGGCATATATTGAACATGTTGGATAAATTCTATGTATTTTATCAAAGCTGCTGTCGCAGCAAGTGCGTAATATCTAAAAAAAAATCGCACCGAAATCAATAACTTCCCTTTAGTGTAAAATTTTCAATTTTTTTAACGGGAAATTAAAAAAATCATGAATAAAAAAAAATAATAATAATAAAATAGGAATTAATTGTAAGTAATTAGATTTATTTAATACTTTTGGTGAACTGCAAGTTCAACAGATGAAAATTCTGGAGCGCAGTGTGTTTTGATTTTCTCTAATCCAATTGTATCAGAAAAATGTATGCGACTGACTCCAGAAATGTCTATATCTTCAAATCTTCTTCGAATTGTAGTATATAGATTATTACCAGCTTCACACATTGTGTCTGGCATTATAATCTAAAAAAAGAAAGCCAGAAGGTTTATATAATTGGGTTTAAATAATTAAACTGATATTTTTATTAATAAATAAAAAATACCTCGATTGGATTGTATGTATGTATTTTAGTGAGTGTGTTAATGTATGAATTGCAGTCGCTTATTTGACAAATTATCATGTGAGGATGTTGTACATCCATGATCGCTATTCCAACTTCTCCTCTAGCTTCACCACGGCCAGAGGTAATTGCTAATGTATATGAAAATTGAATCATCAATTTAGTTTTAAAAATTATTGAATTATTTTTAATCAATAAGCGCTTTATTACTTGATAAATGAATAAATAAATAAATTACCCATTATTACATATCTTTCTTGAACATCTGAGATACTTGACGTCGTTATCCTCCCAGTACCCGAACTAAAACTATATATTTTTATTTTACATTGATAATTCCTGAACAAGTAGTCTCAAATAAAATTAATAATTAAATTTAATTGATTATTACTCAGTAGTTCTACCACGGCCGGAACTTCTCCCTCTTCCAGATGACGATGTCGTTCCGTATCCTCGCCTGGCTACTTTTGGGGTTACTGTTGTACTCGAATTTGATGGAGCAAGATTCACTAAAGGTCTTCTAGCTTCATGAACCACTAAATTTATTTGTATGAAATTAAAGTTAACATTCACTTGATAATTTTTTAATTTTATTAAACAAACAAATTTGTTCAGAAAAATTATTAAAAAAAAAAAAATTGTATTTTTAATTTTTATTTTTATTTCTACTTGTCAGTTTTTTTTTTCTCACTTTTTTGATGACACTAAAATTAGCAGACACTTGACAATTTTTTTATTTTTATTGAAAAATAAACTAGGTCTAGAAGATTATTCTTAAAAAATTGCATTTATAATTTTTTAGAGCTTCTAAAGGTGAAATTTTTTAATGACACTGAAGTTGACAGATATTAGAAATTTTTATAGAATTTCAAATCACCAAAAATTATTACAAAATAAATTTAATAATAAAATTCTGCATGTGAAAATGAAAAAAAAATATAATTGGAAATTTTTAGAAGTATTTTTTTTATTGTAATAGATTTGTTATAAAGTTTAAAGAAATTAACAGCTGTCAGCTAACTTCACCATTATATTTTTTAAATAAGTTTTTTTTTTTTGCTATAAACTTAATTGTTACAAAAATTCTTAAAATTTTCAGATATCTGCTAATTTAATTATCATTTATTTAATAATCGTTAGCTAATTAATTAATAATTAATTACTTACAATACTTCGGCAATATATTAACTGTTTGCTGAATGGTTCCCAATGTACCGATTTTTCCTCTTACCCGGCCGCGTCTTCCTCTACCTCGACCTCCCAAATTCTCCGTATTCATTACGTTCATTTTCGTGTAATTTTTACCATACAAATAATATTTATTATTTGTATGGTTTTATTTTTGAGTATTTATTTTTAAGTAATCAAAATTTTGATAAAAAGCTTTCAATCCTAACAATGGTGTGTTAATTTTTTAATTTTTAAACTGCTTATTACGACACTAACAATGCGACTGCGCGAAAAAACTTAATTGCAATGAAGTTGCGCTCTTTTTAGAAAATATTTACGCCATCGCTGATTGGCCAAAATAAGCGCGGCAATTTAAAAAAATTTTTAAATGAGTAAAAAGCACGCGCGCAGTATTAAAATAAGACAATTGACAATAAGAGTAATTAGAAAATTTTATGTCAGGTTTTTTAATTTTATTAAACAAAAAAATTTGTTTAAAAAAATTATTTTTAGAAAATTGCACTTTTTATTTTTTTAAATTTCTACATGTCAATTTTTTTTCTAATTTTTTTTTGCCATAATTTATTTGTATTAAAATTTATAAAATTATTAAATATATGGGTGATTCTCTGTAAGGATGTTTTTTCCTGTCCCAGGCATTTTTTTATTAGAAAAATTATTATTTTGTTACTAAAAAAAATTTATTACAAAAGTAAAAAAACATTTCTATTTGGAGCATTGAAAATTAAAATGAAATAAATTTTGGTTTTTTTGCTACAAATTCGTAAACCACCGAAATAACAGTCCCCTGGGCTGTCCCATTCCCAAAATTAAAACTTTAACATTAAATTTTAAGTTATTCCTCCATAATATATAATTTGGTCCATAATGTTTATAAACTTAATTAGTTAACTAACAATCTTCTTCAATAAAAAGTACCGAAAATTAATTTGTTTCATTAAATTCATTAAACCAAAGTTTGTCTCAGGCATTTTAAGAACAGTCCCCTGCCAGAAGTTCAAAGCCAAAAAAAAAATCCAGCGTGTTATTTTACCTTTTGTAAGGTTTATAAGGACCTTACTAGCCTTAAGTTAATAATCATAGGGCTGTTAGCGCTTCATCGCAATTTTATTTAGTGTTAAAGCACCGTTTGTGCTGGAAATATGTGTCTGGGCCACTTCAAAACTCATTCCCCTGGCAACTATTTTTATTTATAAAATTTAATCCATAAGTCTTAATATTATTCTAATTAATGTAAACATTCATTGAGAACTCGAAAAGTTGAATGCATTGAAATAGTTTACTTGATTTTTCTCAATTTGATAAAAAAAAAAAAACAGTCCCCTGTCATGTTATATGGCAAAAGATACACAAATATCGAAAGAGCAAAAATTAACTCGGCTGTTTATTTATTATGATTAAGCTGATAGTTTTGTAGCCCTCGTTAATTTTTTTTCTAATAAAATCAAAAATAATTTGGTCGTCCTTAAAGAGAATCACCCATATGCTTAATTAATTTTTAAAAAAATTTTAGGAAGGTAATTAAATACAAAAAATATTTTTTTTATTGGGGAAATATTTAAAATTATATTTATTTACAAATTGAATATTTTGTTGTCCGTCCAACAGTTTACAAGCTGCATTAATAAATAATACAATCACAATCTCTATTATTAGCAATAAAAAATAAAAAATAAATAAGTCCTAATAAATTCCGATGAAATTAAAAAAAATCAAATATTTTGTTCAATCCGGTTAATTATTTACAGTTAATAAAAACCATCTTTGAAAAATATAATATTAAATCTTAAATTCAATAAAAACAGAATAAAAGTAATTTTATACTTTCATGCTCAATTTTTTTAACTTTTAAAAATTAACAATTTCGGCAAGATAGCAAGATTACTTATTTTGCCTTTTATTTTTAAAATTGATCAGACATATTCTTAATAGTCTCGTTACTTAATGAACAATTTATCAATAGAAATCCGCAGGATATTATGAAGCTTTACATTGGTCTTTTCAGTAAATAATTTCGATGATTGATGCATTGGACATAATAACTAGGGATTGCGTCTTAAAAATATATGCAATTTATATTAATGATTATCAATTATTAAAAATTAAATTCTTAAATAATTAGACACTTTTATAATTACGATCACAATTTTTATATTTTTTTATCATTAAATGTAATCGCTATTAATTATCAAATTTGTGTCGTTACCATACCAGTTACAATAATTATTATTTTAATAAATTTATTTAACACAATTGCACCTTCAACATTCTAAACACAAGCTTTTATAATAATAGTAATAGCGCAGCAGCCTCGTATAGACATTAATTATAAATTCAATATCTTATTTCGTTTCTTTTAATTATTTTTTCTCTTTAACTGTAATTATTTACAGTTACAAACTAAATTATTTATTAATTGATCGATTAATCTATTGTAATACAATAAGCATCAAAATTTATCACATCACGTACTTATTATTTCTTTTATCGTTAAAAGTATAAAAAGAAAGTATTAAATTTAATTCAATTGTTCTTAATACATTGTCTTTTTTCTTAATAATTAATTTTTTCTTATACAATAATTCGTTATTATTATTATCATCAGAATTTTTATAACTACTAATATTAATAATGTAATATACAATGGATTGTTATTATAATTATAATAATAAATCTTTATAAATATGTACAATTTATTATTTAAAAAAAAAGATTTTTAGACATGATTGTAATTGCGGCTTAAATATCAACCGCGTCAGATGACAACATAATTATTTTTATTTATTCATTTTTACTTAATTGATAAACTCTTGCATTTAATGAAAAATTTAGCAGTCGCAAAATTAATTAAAAAATTTATTCGAAAGTTTGACATTATTTAGCGTTTTATCAATGTGTGGGAAGTATATATTTTTTCGAATATTTTTATTTACAAAAAGATAAGATGTGTTTTTAATTAACAGTGATTAATATCGGTTGACACATTATTTTTTGCGTATAAATAGATTTATTTTTTATTTATCAATACTTTTGAATTTTTTATTCTTAAATGCATGATATGAATTGATTTTTCGCAAACTGTATGATTGATTTCTATAAATAAAAAAAAATCAATTTTCATCATTTTAAAATGAATTTAAGTAAAAAATTTTGTCATAATTAAAAAAAAAAAAAATCTTGTATTTTATGAACTATTGACATTTTTAAAGATATAAGCTCATCCCGACGTTACACTCATCAAGACCTTTCATTTGAGTACCCACATCAATTTTTCATATATTTATATATATTATATATATGTATATATGACAAATATATCAAAAATGCATGTGGGTACTCAAATGAAAGCTCTAGATGTAAGTAACATCGAGATGAGCTTATATCTTTAAAAATTTCAATAGTTAAGAAAGTACAGTGCAATTTGCTAGTGACTGCAAAGTGACTGCAAGGTTGCTAGTTATCATAATATATTTTTTTAATACTCGTAATTGTAAAATGAATTTAAGTATAAAATTTTGCCATAATTTAAAAAAAAATCTCGGTAAAAAGTAATTTTTAGTAAAATTAATAAAAAAATTGCGCAATCGATTTTGTGTTTAATTAATTAAATAACTTAATGTAATAACATTAAACGTGACTTTCAAGAGGTACTTTGAAAACTTTCGAAGCTAAATTAGCGTCGGGTAGCGACTGCGGTCTTGCATTGGTGACGTTAAAAACAACATTACTCGGTCCACGGAAGCTAACTTCAATAAGGAAACTCGCGTCAGCAACATTAACGCGATTACTGCTCAAATCCGGTGAACTAGTTCTCAGTTGGCTTTTCTTGGGTTTATTATCACTTTTAATAATTCGCTCTGTCTCAGATTGTAATTTATTATCCAACCAATGAACTTTGTCGAAGTCCTTAGTACCACCCACAGTGTGTCGTCGTTTAATCGATCGCTCGGGCATGCCATTTTTTCGTTTGAGCTTTGTGGCGCTTTCTTTCCTGACAGATTGTCTTCGCTTGCTGATATTGCACTCAGTTTTTTCTGTTTTAGTTAACGACTCCGATCGTTTCAGCTTCATATTCGGCGACTCTGATCTCTCGGCGTGTTTATTCAAGCTCTCAGAACGTTTCAATTTGCCGTTTGTCGGAGAAGCGAGTCTATCAGAATGTTTATTCAAACTTTCAGAGCGCTTCAATTTTGAAGAAGCTATTTCCGTCCGTTTATTCAATGATTCTGACCGTTTTAATCGAGAGCGCGACTCATTTGCTTGGCTGCTCAAGCTCTCAAATTTTTCCAGCTTGTTTGAATACGACGAATCCATTATCGTTTTATCCTCTGATTGCAAATTGTTGCAGTCATTTTGAGAAATTGATTTAGCTTCATCGTTGTGCTGCGAATTAGATGCCGATTCATTTTCTTGGCTCTTGTTTTTCGTCTCAAAGCGTTTTGATTTAATGGGTATTTTTGATGGGTTTTCATCTTTCTCGGTTGCGTCCAAAAGTGATCCACCGTCTGATGAGTCTGTTGCTGTTGTACTTGTTTCAGATGTTTTTCTGTGAACATTGCGATCGTTATCAGGCCTGCTTAATTCTCCTTTTGATTTGTCTGTAATCTCGGCGACCGTCAAGTTTTTTTCTTTCTCCAGTAGTGTATCCTAAAATTAATTATATTAATTAATTTCATTCGAATTAAGTAATTAATTTTATTGATTATTTTTTTTTTTTAATTTAAATTCAATTTTGTTGATAAATTTTTTAAAATGATCAATATTATTAAGAGAATAAGAAGAAGTTTGTTTCATGATAAAATTGATTTTTTTAGTGAAATTGAGTGATATTGCAAAGGTCATGACTTGAATTTGTGCCTTTTCAAGGTTTCATATTATTCTCACCGACAGTCAATTTATTATGACAAGTATTTAGACTGCATTCAGAAATACTCTATTTCTAGATACATAATTGAGAAATGACCTTATATCTTGTAAACTATTGAGATTTTTAAAGATATAAGCTTATCTCGATGTTACTCTCATCTAGAGCTTTCATTTGAGTACCCACATGCATTTTGATATATTTTTTATATATACATACATTTTTTATATATACATATATATGATATATATAAATATATGAAAAATTGATGTGGGTACTCAAATAAAAGCTCTAGATGAGAGTAACATCGAGATGAGCTTATATCTTTAAAAATATTAAGAGTTCAAAAAATACAGTGCAATTTAACATAATTAAGAAATGACTTTGTATCTTGTAAAATATTGACATTTTTAAAGATATAAGCTCATCCTGATGTTACACTTATCAAGACCTTTCATTTGAGTACCCACATCAATTTTTCATATTTTTTATATATTTATATATATGAATATATGAAAAATATATCAAAAATGCATGTGGATACTCAAATGAAAGCTCTTGAGAAGTGTAACATCGGGATGAGCTTATATTTTCAAAAACATCAATATTTAAGAAAGTACAGTGCAATTTAACAAAAGCCATTATTTAATAAAGCAAAATTATAATTTTTTTATAATTCACAAGTCCCGGCAGTCACATAGTGACTGAAAGTTTGCTAGTTTCATTTAATTTTTATAATTAATTTTATTAATTAATCCAAACAAAAATTTTTTTTATCAAACATAAAAAAAAAAAATACTTACGGTCTTCGTGCGAACCAAAATATTTTTATCAATATGAGCTTTATGAAGACTTGGGTCACGATAAACTTCAGGTGATCTTGTAGACTGATTACAATCATTATCATTATAGTTGGTTTGTTTATTGTAAGAATTAGCAGTACCAGTACTATTGTTCTCAGCAGACGATAGCAGCAGATTCGATGGATTCACAAGAGATTTCCATTTTCGATCGAACGTCGACGTAAGACTGGTCAAGAGATCGCTCCCTGAAAACAAACAAAAATCTTTAATAATTATTTACACTACCCTTAAGTCAGCTATTAAAAAAAAATTATATAAAATACACTCAAAGCTTTAATTTTAATTAAATAAAAAAAAAAATAATTAAATGTCATCATGTCATTTACAAATAGTTTATATTATTCTTCATGTGCTAAAATTAATAGAATTTTTATATTAAAAATAGTTGTAAAAAACTACGACACATATCGAGCAAACGTTAGCGACAGAGCTCGTAGGCAACTAGTTTGATTATTTATAATTTATAATTATAACAATGTAGTTATTTTTATTTATTTATTACAAGAGTTATAATTAAATAGAGCATTCTTAAAATAATAATAATAATATAAAATCGATAACGACAATAAACGACAGAGCGACACAATAAACATGTAGGCAGCATATCGGCTAGTGATAAATGACTTTTATAAAACGACACAAGTTTAGTATGTTAATAACTTGTGGATCGTATTATATATGTTGTGTAGAATTTATATATATGTAATATAATAATATAATTCTATAACTATGATATAAACAGACTATTCAAGTCTATAACACAAGCAGGCGGCATAATAACAATTGTTATACAACAATGAGTCGCGATATGTCGGCAGCTAAGTGTAAAATCGGATGAAGTTTGAAATTCAAACTTGTATGATGTGTATATATTTTTTTTTGTGTGTATTACAGCGTCGCAAACGCGCTACACTGAATTTTTTATTTTATTTCTATTTATTAATATATATTTTTGTTAAAATATATATTATAATTGTTGCAACGTGCAGAGGATGAAGATGATGGTGAACTGATTATCACAAAGAAGACAACGAGCATTTAAACTCAGTGGTAGTTTTTTTTTTTTTTTTTAAACAAGCGAAGAGGAAAAATGTAATTTTTTAGGGTTTCAATTAAATGTGCAAAATAAATTTAATTAAAATTAAATTTTAAAGCTAATTAGTGCGTGTAAAAATAATTTTTTTTTGTCTGTGATGTTTAAAGTTAATAAAAAGTACTAGTTAGATAATTTACTCGAGATTTATTCTTTTGATCATCTATATTAAGAGAATAAGAAAAATTTTGTCTTCAGGATAGTCATATGATAAAATGACCTTGTATCTTGTGAACTATTGACATTTTTAAAAATATAAGCTCATCCTGATGTTACGCTCATCGAGACCTTTCATTTGAGTACCCAGATCAATACTTCATATATTTATATATATTATGTATATGTATATATGAAAAATATATCAAAAATGCATGTGGGTACTCAAACAAAAGCTCTTGATGAATGTAAAATCGGAATGAGCTTATATCTTTGATATATATATTATATATATGTATATATGAAAAATATATCAAAATTGATGTGGGTACTCAAATGAAAGCTCTTGATGAGTGTAACATCGAGATGAGCTTATGTCTTTAAAAATGTCAATATTTAAGAAAGTACAGTGCAATTCAATATAATTAAGAAATTACCTTATATTTTGTGAACTATTGACATTTCTAAAGATATAAGCTCATCCCGACATTACACTTGT